CACGCTCGCTACGACAGGGCTGTCCGCTAGCGCCACTAGTGTTCGTATTACAGTTGGAAGTTCTGATGTGTAACATCCGACACAGACCAGAAATTCGCAGTCTAGCCCTAGGGAACAAGGAATGCAAAGTAAAGGCGTTGGCCGATGATCTTTTCGCAGTCTGCGACAACTCAGCCGGGGCACTGGAGGGCCTTAAAAATCTGTTAGATGAATACTCATTGTTCTCTGAGGCAACAGTAAATTGGCGCAAGTCAGTATATTTTCTTCCTTGGGAAATGAGTTTAGCCACAAACAGGGGTATGAAACGGATTGAGAAAGGGGAGACCGAACGTTTCCTGGGAGTAATGATTGCGATGGACTCATGTCAGAATGTTCAAGAGGAAATTCTGCAGAGCAAAGTTGTAGCAAAAATCAAGTTGTGGGGAGGAGCAACCCACCTGTCTATTTTTGGTCGAGCACTGGTAATAAACGCATCCCTTTTTTCCTTGCTGCGGTTTGTAGGGAAAGTACGTCTGCTGGTCACGTCATTTTTAGCAATGATTCGGAGGGTTGGAGCTAGATTTTTGTGGAAACTCCAAAGTTGCATGGGACCTCATCACACAATCGAGGTCAGAGGGATGCTCAGGTATCACAGATCCGCACAGACAGAACTGCTCTATGCTAATGCAATGGATAGTTCGAGTCTCAACAACATCGGGAACGGAGCACTGACTCATTATGGGCGAGCACATCCCATCAGAAGAATGGGGCCTGGTAAGAAAAGAGGATGTTTGGCTCTGTCTACAACTAGACTCCTATGCAAATAGGAAGATCCAGTCCCCGTTCTGGGCAGGAGTGATCAGTGCCTGGAAGAAGACAAGGCCGGACGAATGGAGAAAACCTGTAACAAGACAGGAAGTTCTGGCTCAGCCTCTATTTGACAACCCTCACATTCAGAATGAGCAGGGCCTCAGATTCAGGGCTAACAGGGAGTCTGGGGCTTTTGGAGAAAGCTGGATCAGGAAAGGGATTCTCAGAGACTCAGAGTACGAGGCATTTGGAATGAGGCCCAAGGCCAATGACACTCACCTGCAACAATTCGGAAGGTGGCGGGAGGCCTTCACTATGTGGAGGAAAAACAGGGGAAGCTGATCTCAGCTATCCCGCAGGAATGGAAGGACTTGCTCGCACCAGATGGGACATACCCGCCGGGAATTTGGTACGTGGGAGATGACCCAGAGTACAACCAGTCGTGTTGGAAACTGATTTCCTATACTCAAGAAAGAGGGAGAGTATTTGAAGAATGGAAACAAGGCTTTCTCTCGGAGGAGCTAACCTTCAATAGCCAGGAGAACCGACAACCCCCACTGGGATCAGCTCTAAGATAGATAAGAGTGGAGGAAACATGCATCGGTCTGGCTCGCGAGCAAGGGGATGGATATCAGACTATCATGCACACGTTGTACATGGGCCTTTGAGTTGACGTTTCATTTGTGGTGGGATTGTCCTGCCTCTTTTCGAGTATGGGATTGGTGGGCCACTCACTGGAAAGACTTCGCTGAATGGGATTGGGAATGGAATAGAAAATGGGCGCTCCTGGGAATTTTGCCAGAAGGAACGCAGATAGAAGAGTAATAGGCTAGTATCGAAGAGCAGAGGGCTCGATGGAACCACTAGTAGCAGAGATGCAACGACACACAAAATTCAGAGTGAACGCACGCCTAGATCAGCAAAGTAGTTTGCAGAAGATCAGGTGACTCAGCTACTCCCGGGTGGTTTGTTGAGAATTCCCGGCCTCAAGGTCTCATACTTGAATAAAGGATCCTCTACCTGTTCCCGAAAAAAAGAAAATAAAAAATAATCTGACTCCCCGTTGGATATGGGGAGCATTCAATGCCTGCCAGCCCTTTCTGTTTCACGGCTCCAGTATAACGTTGCCACTCTCCAGAATGTATCTGGCAGCACTTCTGCGCCCCACTCAATGAATGTGAGGGCAATCATGTTAAGAGTTTGGTTCCCCTATTCACCCTTTTTTTTTTTTTTTTTTTTTTGAAAGAAGATTCTTGACAGTTTACAATCTGACTCGGCGTGGGGAGCAACCTGCCAGCCAGCTCTTTCCAGTATGTATCTGGCTGCACTTCTGGCGAGGCTTGTGGTGCTACCTGAGTGGAAACAAGAAAGCACAGGTCTGGTCTGTTTACGTTCCATCTGCTGGCAGCAGGTCTAGCATAAGGGGCGGTACCTGCTTGAAGCAACAAATGTCCCATATTTTTTCCCTTTCTCTGCAGGCTCGGCAAAAATCGGCGCGCAGGGCATATTCAGACTCGGCTTCAATAGCTGGGCCAAGTACTGGTGGTTTAAGACCACAAAAGGTAGGCATGCAAAGATGGTGTCGCTGCAGTGGAAGATTGAGCACAGGTGCCTGCCCAAAAATTATTGGTTGATTGACAGACTGTACCTGGAACAAAAGTGCCAAGCCCTGCCCTGGTGCAAGCTCTGCAGATCCACCTTTCCAGCCCGGAAGATCCCAGAAACAATTGAGCATCAACAAGGACTACGTCTATAAGGGGGGGATGCTCGTATCATCCCCCCTCGTAGACTGGAGCTGGTAAAAAAAAAAAAAAAAAAAAAAAAAACCCTTAAAAGAACATTACTTGGAAACAAAAAATTCTTTTAACTCGAGTTTTGGTTTTCCATTCGACAATTTGTAGATTAGTGACCCGAAGAGGTCATTTTTCACTCATTTGGCCTGTCCATTCATTACTGGCCATTTTTCAAGATAATAGGTGGTCATCGCTCATCGTTTTCGCTCCGTTTTTTTTTGTTCTAAGGACAGATGAATGGTGGTCACAAAAAAAAAAAAAAAAAAAAAGAGGAAAGAAAAGACGATACTAGGAAGTCCGATTGACCACCTGTCATCTAAAAATGACAGGTAACCGACAGGCCAAATGAAATATTTTTAAGGAGGGAACTTAGGAAGAAAGGTTTCCCTGGTAAAGTATTTTTTAAGACAGCCGAGGAGTTCTCGGAAAATAACAGGGACTGCTGGAAGGGCAAGGTTAAAATTATATCTGAGGGTCTGCTAGGGGGACGAAGCGACAGTTGGGAAAAAAAGCTATCGGGATACGGGTAAACTATCAGGGACTGCTGAAAGGAATCCTGTTTGAGGGTCGAAACGATACGGGATTCCAGTCTGTACCAAAGGACAATACTTCTTAACACCGTGACGGAGGACCAGATGCTACCAGACGAAATGATGTTACAGCATATCGCACTGGCGCTACGGAGATCCAGCGCCTTGACCATCGAAGGAGACCCAACATCTGTCGTCTTCTACCAGATCTGATTGCCAGCTCGTACGCTACTCCACGTTTCTATGCTTGCCTGCGATCCCTGGCTTCCCGTATCCTCTACCTATCCTCTATCTGCTACCCCGATCGATACTCCCGCTTTCTCCATGGTGTTTCCTCTGAGCTACCCCTTCCAGCCACTCTACTCCTCACTCCACTCGTCTTCTCCATTCATCGTATCTGCCTGTTTTCCATTCTGCTACCTCGTAGTCCTGTTCCTCTCTCTCCCGCCCGATGGATGACTCCGCTCTACATGTCTACCATTCTCTGCACCGTCATCTTGCGGCATTTTTTTGAATTCAGCAGTTGACCTCTCTCTCTTCCCGCCTTCGATATCTCTTGTTTTTTCCCTCTCTCTCTCTCCCTCTTCTCTCTCTCTCTCTCTCTCTCTCTCTCTCTCTCTCTCTCTCTCTCTCTCTCTCTCTCT